CGCCCCACCTCGCTCTATCCCCAGGTACCCCTCACCCGTGAGTCATCCTCCTTTCCCGGTCTCTGGTCTATGTCATCCTCGCCAGCCCTGTTTGTTCCTGGGTTGCGTTAATCATCAGCATCCCCTACCATCCTCATCGTGGAGCATTCGGATTATTTGCGCACCCACTGGGTTCTGAGCAGCAGGGCAGAACGCCTCTGGATGCATTTTCCCCTCTGAGACCATATCGTTCTCATGACTAGTCAAGTGTCTAGAGAGCCACAACAATGTGATTTTTAAAAACAATTTTGATATACACACACCTCCACCAGCCTGGATTTTTCTGGGTGCATTGTATGCAGTATCTTTCTTGACCCATCCTCAGTAGGTCGGTTCCGCAATTTATCCTAATTTCCCCGCAACTCGGCAACTCTTTAATTTGTCATTTGGGGCTGTGGGTAGTCCTGTCACAGCACTTCTCTGGTGCTTGCAAATGAATTACCTACTCTAATTTTTCATGATGCTCACTATCATCACGGACTCACTTCTTAGCCTCTCTGGGTGCTTCTGCAGAAACACGGATCCCGGATAAGAAAAACACCCAACCTATCATATTGTGAGAAGCTTCTGCTCAATGCCTGACCCAATGATAGGCATTAAGATGAGCTCCTCTTGCTGATAAAGGCAGAAATAAATAGACGATCCTTTCAAAACAGGTAATGTTATCAGTTTTGAAACCCAGAGATTAAATTTTCTTAATACACTTATGAAAGAGTCACTATGGAGAAGGGTTCAAATTGTACGACAATTTAAAAAAAAAATCAATAGTTATGAGAGAATTGGTATGCTCCCCGCCTGGGGGATTCTTTTTATAGTTCCAGGAAGAATCTAGCACTAATCTTTTTTTTTCCTGTAAGCCTAATTTTGTTAATAAAGATGATGATGATGATGATGATATGTATGAATCCTAAAACTCTTAAAGTCTTCAAGTTTAGGGAATGTAAGGTTTTAACTACTGGGTCTACCATTGAATACAGGTGTTGATTCTACTGGGATACATCTTTTTGAATCCTTTCAGTAATAGAAGGTTTACATCTTAAGTCTATTCCTATGTCTAAATCCTTCTACCTAAAAAATTTTCAACTGTTTGAAGTGTCTATCATGCCATCTTCAATTTTCTCCAGAGTAAACCTTCTCAATGTATCTTACCAGTAATTGTGTAGCATGATTTTAATACTGGTCATTGTATTTACAAGCCTTTGCACCCAATAGTGTGTTTTCACTAGCCTTCCAAAGCAGTGAAATCAAGAATACATGTAAAGAACCAAAAACTGTCTGGCATTTACAAGTGCTTTATAATCATTTTTATTTGCACAACTTAACATTGGCTTAACTTTTTGGTAGCCATGCCAGTTATGAGGATATCACTGAAATAAATACATAGGCCACTATAATGCCCATTTTGTGTACCTGTTTCCTTCAGATCAGCATACTAGTATATTCAGGGAGACAGGGGGAATAGTTTGAATTCTGGCTTTACCAGTGATTTTATGATCTTGGCGAAATCATTAATGCTTTCTGAATTTCTGTTTCCTCATCTGAAAAATGGGGTAAAGACATTTACCTCAAAAAAAAGAGAGAGAGAAAAGAAATATTGAATGAGGAGACATATTTGGAGCACCTAACTACATGTGTAACACTTTGTAGTACCCTTTTCCTTATTCCTTGCTCTTTCCAAGAAATATATTAGGCCACCTCTCAATTATTAATATACAAAGGGGACTAGAAATGTAGATGAGATAGTCATTCTATCAAATGCCCTTCTCTGCTAGTCAGTCTGGAGATACAACAGACAAAGGCCTTGTCCTCAAGAGGTTTACAATCATGTTGGTCCTCCTGAAATTCCTCTAAAATAGAAACAAAGGAATAAATCCTTTGATAGACATTAGAACTAGCTGAATGAAGCTCTTAAGGCAGGGGCCTAGTGCACATTTAACAGTGGTGATTTTATTTGCTAGGGCTGATATTACAAAATTCCATAGACTGGGTGGCGTAAACAACAGAAATTTATTTTATCACCGTTCTGGAGACTAGAAATCCAAGATCAAAATGCTGGCAGAACTGATTTCTTCCTGAGGCCTCTCTCCTTGGCTTGTAGATGGCCACTGTTTTTGTGTGTCCTCACATGACCTTTTCTCTGTGCATGTCCTCCCTGGTACCTCCACTTCTACTTATAAGGGCATTATTCCTATTGGATTAGGGCTTCACCCTTATCACCCCATTTAACTTTAATTACCTCTTGAAGGTCTTACCCCCAAATACAGTCACATCCTATGGTATTGGGGCTTTAACATATGAATTTTTAAGGGGGCACAATTCAGTCCAATATAAGTGGCTTCCATTTATAAAAATTACTTTGGAAAAGTATTTGGATGACTTCATGAAAATGTGTCTTGTCCTGATCATCTTTATGTCCATAGCTACTTCCTTGGGCACCATAAGTGCATATGAAAAAAAAAATAGTGAATGAATTGACCAATAAATTAGTAGTTATCATGGTGTAATCCATGAGGGTTTCCCCTTTGTTCAGGAACTAAACTCATCCATTATGGAGGAGTTCAAAACCAATTTCTAAAATCCAAAAGATGTATAAACTTTATACATGTTGACTTTCACAAAAGCAGAACTTAATCTGAATTTAGATAAGCAAACACCTGAAGTAGGTGTACCAAAGCGTGTGGCACACATTAGCTCCTAAATAGACTCTACAGAAAAAGTTTAATAAACCTAGAAAAAAATATGTACAATACCAGCCTCCTAGAAATTCACAATGCCCCTTAACAAATAAAAAGTGTTAAAACGCAATTATTTACTTCAGTAATAAAATCTTGGTTTTACTTGGTTTGGCTTGGCATTTCCTAAGTGTGTTTGGGCTGTCATAGAAGTTCATTCTCTTCTAAAGGGGGGACAATCTTTGGGAAAAATTCTGACTTACAAAACTGATATTCAAAGATGTTAACTAGAGAGATTGTGAAATTTCCAATGCGATTCTCTTGTTCAATCAAAGGTATCCATAGAAAAACATCTTAAATCTCTGTTCATAAGATATGAATGAGGTACGTTTTTTGAAATATATATATTTTTTATTTATATCAGAGAGGAAGGGAGAGGGAGAGAGAGAAAGAAACAACCAGCAATTGAACCTTGACCTCCTGGTTCATAGGTCGACTCTCAATCACTGAGCCACACCAGCTGGGCTGATGTACCCTTAAAGTCAACACTAACATCATGTTCAGGGTGCTAGTCAAAAACAATGACTTAGACAAACTCTTTTAAAGTAAGTGTCTTAGCTATCTTCTCCACTGATACTATCGAATCATCATTTCTCAAAATAACTAAAATTGGACACCACTGTTAACTGTTAATTCACTAGCCGAGATTATAATTTCAGAGTAGAAAATCATTGAAATGGAGTCAAGTTCAAATCTTTACCATTTAAAAGTTGTAGTAGGCTTAATCCTGTCTTCCCCCAAAATTCATATCCACTCAGTCTCAAAATGTGACCTTATCTGGAAATGGACCTTTACTGATAATATTAGTTAAATGAGATTATTTTGTATTAAGATGAGTCCTAAATCCAAAGACTACTTACTGTCTTATGAGAGGAGAGAATGCTTAGACAGACATGCAGGGAAGAAGGCCATGTGAAGATACAGACACACAGAGAAGAAGGCCCTGTGAAAGCAGAGTCAGAGAATGGAGTTATGGTGCCCTGAACCAAGGAATGCCTGGAGCCACCAGATGCTGGGCAAGGGAAGGGAGAAATCTCCTTTAGAGACTTCAGAGCTATCATGGTCCTGCTAACACCTTGATTTTGGGTTTGTAGCCTCCACACTGTGAGAGAAGAAATTTCTGTTGTTTTGGGTAGTTTGTACAGTTTATGGTACTTTGTTACCACAGCCCTAGGAAACAAATATAACAGTTCTGTGAGTTTGGGTGGATTGGTAAACCTCACGGAGCCTTATTTTGCTCATCTATAAAATGGAAATAACAATATTCACCTTTCAGGATTTCATTTTGTTTTAATCCTCACTAGAGGGTATTTTTTTTCCATTGAGTAGAAGGGAGGGGAGGAGAGAGAGAGAGAGAGAGAGAGAGAGAGAGAGAGAGAGAGAGAAACATCAATGTGACACAATCGATTGGTTGCCTCCTGAAGGAGCCCCAGTATGTGCCCTTGACGGGGAATGGAACCTGTGACCCTTCAGTTCGAGGGCCGACGCTTTAACCACTGAGCAAAACCAGCCAGGGCACCTTCCAGGGTTTTGGCAAGGATAAA